ATCAACAAGTTATGGGCTTAATTTTGACAAAATACTGTAATTTTCACAATTTTTTATTTTTATTTTAAGTGTATGACCTTGCCCCTTATGACCAATCCTCCTTCTCAAGTGACTCCTCATTTCTGTCTCATGATTAAAATAACAACTGTGTAAACTTGCACAAAACCGCTAAAACCTAAACCTCAAAGAACACAGTGTTATTTATTGAACAGAGGCCGCTGTTGTCCTCTTTTGCGAGAACGTTTACGGACATTTGTGGCGACGCGGCTGATTAGACAACCTTTTATGAGAATGAATGCTCTTCATTCTTAAAGTAAATGTTAAAAATAGAGCATATGAAAAAAAAATCACCATTTCTTTCATTCAGCCCCATTCCGTCCTGAGGCTTGCTTTTGATTCCAGTTGGGAAATGAAAATATATTATTACACACAGAAAGGTGATTTAAGAACCAACAATGTGTGTTTCTTCAGAATATTGGGGGGATTTTTGGGAAGACCTAGCAAACAGGCTTTATTGACGTCTTGAGCCCTCGGCAAGCTGACTCCGTATTAAAAGACAGTTGATACATAATTACATAATGATATTGGCGCCATAATGTAATCGCATACAGGCTAAGTAAAGCTTTCTCATTGATTTCTGCTAATAGCCTTGCATTCGGACTAGTTTTCTCTCCGCGTTTGCTACAGAAGATCGTTCAGGCCGACAGCGACAAATTTGGGCGAATCCGCAATTTGGGTTTCCATGGAGATAAGAGGTTGCGCTCATATATACTGGACCAATAGTGTCATTACGGGTGGGATTGGCGAAAGCAAATACTACACCCATGATTGCAACAGGAGGTTTTTAATCCTCATGGGACTTTCCTGGATAGATAAAGGTAAAACAAAACCAAAAATAATGAAACATGAAAAAAATATATACATTTTCATAAAGAGAGCCACAGTTTATATGGAGTAAATAAGTTTCAACATATCGATGTGTTCTTGATTTTCTCCTTTTATTTTATTTTTCTGTGACAATATTAACTTTGGCATTTGAGTTAAATGCTACTTGACTGAAAAAGTATACTTTCAAGAAATTGTATGAACAAAAAACATAAACGGAGCGGTAAGAATATGTAAAACACCCCCATCTAGAGGTAGAAGTGGGACGTTACACTCTGCTTTGATATTAAACATATAACATGGCGTACATAGAAGGGAGGACACACAGTTGTAAAGAATATAATTTGATTCTTGATTCTTTGGGTGTCAAACCGGTTCCAGAAAGGGCGAGCGTGGCTGCAGGTTTTCGTTCCAACCTGAGCTGGAGCAAAATCCACCCATTTCCTCAAATACTCAGGTTAAAACTGGACTCACTTGAGGAAGCGGGTTGGAACTAAAACCTGCAGCTCTGCCGTACTTTTGATTTTAAAGGGAGAAAAACATGACGAGGATGTGTCATATTGTTACAAGTTTGGACAGAAGGGGCATTTTTTTTACAGATTTGTGTCAGAAATTCCTGTTATTACCATCCTCAATGTGGGACTCCCCGACGTTTCTCATTTTCTCACACTGGGTTTTCAAAGTTTTTCCTTGCCGATGCAGGAGGGTCTAAGGACAGTGGTGATGATCCAGGACACTCGACTTTCAACCACATATATGGACATTTATCAACATTACATTGGTCATTTGTCCCTTATTCGTCAATGGCTTTTTGTTGTTTGTAAATTGCTGCATTTCTTGTTTGAACTTTTTGATTCTCTTATCTGTGTTGGCGAATTCAACGGCTTTGTAAAGTCCTCCGAGTACTGTTGTGATTCAGGGCTGTACAAAATTAAATTAAATTGAATTGATTTGAACTGTGGATGCGGTCAGTTAAAACTCTATATTAATTTTGGTATTTTATTCTATTTTAAAGGGAACACAAGTTGATTCTTTTATTTCATTTTTTTATTGAGATTAAAAACCTCTTGTTCAAGGGAAAGCCAAAAGGCAGCAAAGCTACACATGAACACAACAGACAAGAAAAGATAACATTCAAAATGACAGGTTCGACTGTCACACATCATTTTCCTACTTTTCCACCATCTCTGCTCCAAATCACCACTATTACTCTCACCTACTCAGCTGCCCTTAAGTGTTTATGAATGTATGTCTGGCGTATTGGATAACCCGGCCCTCCACCCGCACCTTGGCCTCCTGCGCCTCTTCAGAACCTCCTCTCTCCGCCCCGGTCGCTTCATCCCTCGCTCCAGACACGCTGGAGTGCGTCTCATTCGCTCGCACCTAATTGGAAGTAATTAGAGGCGTTCAGATGGGGTTAATCAAGGATGACTTACACAGATTACAGCAGGACCTGAGCAGGAGATGGAGGAGAGGGGAGAGAGGAGAGGGAAGGGAAGGGAGGTGGAGAGGAGGGAAAGGGAGATGGAGGAGAGAAGAGATGGAGGAGAGAAGAGATGGAGGGGAGGGGAGAGGGAAGGAGAGGGGAGACAAAAAGAGATGGAGGAGAGAGAAGATGGAGGAGAGGGTAGGGGGAAGAGAGGAGAGGGGAGGAAACGTGACGAGAGCAGATGGAAGAGAGGGGAGGTAAGAGGAGGAGTGGAGAGGAGAGGGGATGGAGGAGAGGGTAGGGGGAAGAGAGGAGAGAGGAGACGAGAGGGGATGGAAGAGAGAGAAAATGGAGAATAGAGGAGATGGAGGAGAGGGTAGGGGGAATAGAGGAGATGGGAGGAGAGAGGAGACGAGAGGAGATGGAAGAGAGGGGAGGGGAGATGAGAGGGGATGGAGCAGAGGGCGAGATAGAGGAGAGGATAGGGGGAAGAGAGGGGAGGAGAGAGTAGACACGAGGGGATGGACGAGAGGGGAGACGGGGGGAAGGAGAGGAAGGGAGACAGGGAGAGGGGAGGAAAGGAGAGAGGAGAAGAGATGGAGGAGAGGGGAGACAGGTAACAGACAATAATAATGAAAATCATGCCACATACAAGTCTTATTAAAAAATATATATATTATGTAAAAAAGAATTATAAGTAAAATGAATTGCCTCTATTCTTTTGACCCCCGACCTATCCCATTTTTTTTTTATTCTGCCCCTGACCAAGTGAAAAAATGAGTTTGACACCCCTTATGTAGAAGGATCTTGCTGGTCTGGAAAATATTACAAGATACAAGAATTCATTTGCCATTTGTTGTAAAACCACATTGGGAAAACCGTGCAAGACTACCCCAGTGTGCACCCTTACATTGTATAGTATGTCCCCTTTAACGCCTTGCTTTGGACGTCTTAATCAACAAACAACGTCTATTTTCTGTCCACGACATGTTGCCAGTTTCCAAAAATAAAGTATTCGGACGATTTTCATCAAACCCCTGCCGAGGAGACTCCAGATTGCCGCTCTCTGCCGTGTGCTGCTGACCTGGTTTTTGGAGAGAACCCAGATGTTGATTTTGGCAAACGTGGCGTGTTCGGCTCGGATATAGAACAGCGGCGGCGGCGGCGGTGGCGGTGGCGGGCGCTCGGCAGGTGGCTCCACTCACTGATGATAATGATATAGCGCGGATTCATGTCAGGTGCATGAATACAGCTGATGATTGCAACTTTTTTTGAGTCTATTTTGGGATTTTTATTCTTCTCAAGTAAGTGGCGGTAAGTCAATACGCAGCAAAGAGTGCATCTGAGGTCCGACAGAAGGGAGGGGATTGGATAAGAGGAAGTAAGTAATGTTTATTTATAAAGCACCTTCCACACACCAGAGTCTCAAGGTGCTTTACAATTGTGGGCACCAATAGGTCTGGGCATGCCAGACCTATTGGACTTAATTTTAGTTTGGACAGGGGGAGAACATGCAAACTCCACAAAGAAAGGCGACGAGGTGGAATCAAATCCAGGACCTTGTGGCTTTGAGACACAAGCTCTAACCTCTGTGCCACCGTGACGCCCAGTGCTGAAAGAAAGTGCGGTTTTGAAAAGTTGTTTTGCAGCAAATCTGTCACGAAATACAGTGGGTTATTTTGTTTTGCTTTTTACCGAAATATCTCGACAAAGTAACAGACAACACAAAGTGAGTTTTTTGAGCCCATACCTGCGTGTGAAAGCCGGATCCAGTCAGACCATTGAGGCTAAGTAGGGTTGGGCCTGGTTAGTGCTGTGATGGGAGACTACTGAGAACACCAAACTTCTCAGTGCCAAACTGTAGTGGTCTTAGGCAAGACACTTCCCGTGTATTGCCTAGTATAAGTCTGGTGTGTGAGTGAATGGTTGGTGGTGGCCGTAGGGAGCTCACTTCTGTCAGAGGGCCCCAGGGCAGCTGTGGCTACAGTAGTAGTTTATGTACGGAGGGAAAGGATAATGACAAACTGTAAGTATGTAATCGTCACCCAAAGCACTTTACAATCGTTGAAAGTTCAGATATACTTTTCCATTCTCTCAACACGGTGATGACAGATGCGAGATGCCACAAAGCCTACACCATTAATTCACTCACTTGTTACATTCAGACCCATTGTACATGTTTTTAGTGGTAGGGGAAAGCGAAGTACAGGGAGGAAACCTAGCAGACTCAGACAGAGAATCAAACAGTTCAGACACAGGAAATGCAATGATATCTTTATTTAACCAGGAAAGTCCCATTGAGAATAAGAACATCTTATTCAAGGGAGTCCTGAAATTATAAAAAAAAAACATAGAACCATTTGTCTGTAGGGGACTGATGACCAAGGTACATAAATATTGATGCGGTCCCTAGATGTCGTTGAATGTCCAGTGTCCTGGATCATCACCACTGTCCTTTGACCCTCCTGCATCGGCAAGAAAAACTGTGAGAAACCTCGAGAAGGCCCACATGGAGGGAGGGATCTGCTTCCACGGACGGAAGCAGAATCGAGGACGTATGACCGGGAATACGTCATGCAGGTGAAAAATGTTGAGGTCTTTCAAACATTGGACGGTACTGAAAATGACATTGAATTGAGTCCACACATGATTACTGTTATGATCCCCCACGTATGAACTCACTCCTTCACCTGCCCGCTCTAGCTCTGCGCTCTTTCCATGGCGGTAATGTGAGGTTTGCCGGGAACGATTCGGGAGCATAGCACAGTGTAGCGGCGTTCCCGAGGGAGCGACCCATTAAGACTGAACCCCCGGTGGACAGAGACGGATGGGGCAGGGGTGGGCTCTTAATGGCTCCCCTTTCTGCACCAGAGAAGAACTGTACACGCACACGCCATACAGGTCTGGTCCTAGTCTATTAGAGCGACAATAGACCGCTGTAGGGGCACAAAGCGAGCGCGGCAGTAGAGGGAGATGGTGGTTCGTAATTATAATTAGTGCAACAAAAACACTACCATGGTTTGAAGGGTTGGTATCAGCAAATATTGCATTTAAAAATATATATATATATCTTTTCACAAATACTTAAACTAGTGTGCATGGGTGGATGAATTTGATGTTTGTCATACACTGCAACAAATAATAATTGCTTGAAGTAAGTAAGTTTTTTAATCTTGATTTAAGTTAGGGCTGGACAATATGGCTCAAAACTATATCACAATATAAGTAATTCATATCGGTCAGTAACGATATATATTGATTTTTGTTGTTGTTTTTTAAACCTAAATAAATACATTTGTCGTGTGGGGGAATGACGCTGTAGGAATACGTTCACACTGTGTCCCCCGTTTTTATTCCTGGTTTAATCCTGGTTTAGTCCTGGTTAAGCGCCTGTTTGGGTTGTTTTCGAGTGTCTTGTGTCCCCGTGACGGCTCCGTGCGGCTGTGCTTCCCGAGAAAAAAGTTCATCTCTTGCTTTCGCCGAATGCATCGGCCCACTGCCTTTACCACGCCACACATGCTATTCCTCACACAAACGTGCAGAACCATTGACACAGCATTGGAACACGATCTATAGATCCATGGACGCTACGCATGGTGCGGGTTTTGTTTTTGCATTTCCCAGAAGGTTTTGCAGTCCATGATCGGCTGTGGTAGGTCGAGAAGCCTCTGCCTACATCCCCCAGAATGCCGTGCGCTTCTGACTCAGCTTTACTTCCTGTGTTTTCTTCCTGTTTTTTTTCTAACAGAGCGAATATAAACTATAGACCCTGTTTTCTATTGATATCAAACACGTGTCTATCGCAATATATATAGTTATCGTTTTATCGCCCAGCCCTAATTTAAGTACATTCTGAGTCTAAAAGCAATAATTGCCAATGGGACAAAGCAATTTAGCCTTATTTTCACATTCTTGTTTTAAAAAAAGATAATTTAGCTTGCTCCATTGGAAAATCTTGTTTTAAAGCAGTCAAAATGTGCTTAAATGATGCAACATTTTGCCAAATTTGAGCAATGTTTGACTCTTTTTAAATCACTTTTTGCAGTGAAGAGAACACTTATTTTGAGAATATTGCATTCAGCATTTGATGTTTTCGAATGTGAAATGGTTTCTTAACTTAAATGAAAATTTACAAGATTTTGATTAGAAAGACAGAAAATGGCTCTTTTTGTGACATGAAGAGGAATGGGAATTGCAAAACAAGCCAGGAGGACATGTTTGAGCTGATTCATGTCAGAGATATTAGCACAGATGGATGGATCAACAGTTTTTGAATTGCCTTGTGTATGCAATATGCTATATAAATAAACTTGCCTATTCATATATTCATGCCGCGCATTTTATGTGTAGAAATGAAAGTAAGTAGGTTAAAAGTAAAAAAATGATTTCCCAGTGAACAGCATATCTCCTGTTGAGTTACACTGCAAAGAAATGGCAATTTTTTAGATAATTAAAACTTAAATTTGAGTAAAGTTATTTCGTCCTATTTCAACTGTTTCTCTTTCCAAGGGAGACATTTCTTTTTAAAACAAGAATATTTTTTTCTTGTACCAATTAGCAAATCTTGTTTTAAGGCTGTCAAAATGTGCTTCAAGATATATTCTGCCAAGTTTTAGTAAATTATAACCCATTTTTCAGCACTTTTTTCAGTGAACGGTGCCGATGTTTACAGCCATAATCCCATAACTCTATTGGAGAGTGAGATGTTCCTTGTATATATTTTTGATTAATGTACACAGCGCTTTTGTTCTGTTTCTTATGCAGTAATAGTACTTTAACTGCAGTACACCCGCCTCCTCTCCCCGGTGGTCTTCAGTATATATATGTCTTGTCTGCTCATTGAATGAGATGGATGGTCTCCTGTTGCTACTGCGTGTTCTGCTGTGTGCCGTAGGAGGCCCTCGCTGATATAAAAACAAGACCATTAGAATTAGTGCTTCTAACATGGCGTGGTGTAATTCAATGCAAACAAAAAAATAAATTACAAAAGACAAATTGAAGTCAAAACATTTTCAGTGTCCCATGATTTAGATTTGTCTTTGTGTAACCGGTTTGAAAAAGGTGGATTTAGACAGATGGAGTGGGGGTGTGCCAAATTATAGTAGCAGTTCTAGTGTGTCGTAGCATAGTAGTTTTGATGGAGCTAAGTATACATTTATTTCAGGGAGTCCTGCCTCTCTGTAAAAATGTGTTTTCCATTTGGCTACTTCAGTGTTGTTCTGGTCCTCTACTGTGCCTCTTCCCAGCTACCTTCAGCGTTTTCCTTGAATTTTCGCTGATCACTGGAGTACACAATAAACACTGCAAAAAAATATAGAAAATGAGGGGTTTACATTTTGCCAGATTTTGATAAATTTTTTACTTATTTTTCATCACTTTTTGCAGTGCATTATTAACTGGTACAAACATCCCTTGACTGTCCTTTAGAAGAACATTTCCTCGTGAAAAGGGCAAATATTTCCTTGGAGACATGTTTGGGGACAGGGCCCTTCTTTCAGTTTAATTCACAGCAATCTTTTTTCTTTAAAATAGAAATATGTAAGATTTTGATGTCAAGTCATCATTAAATGACCCTAATCTTTCAAAAGGCTTTAACAAAACATGCTCTTTTCAAATACTTCTTTAACTGATAAAGATAGTTCAGCTGAGACCTTTTAAATTTCAAAATTAGTTTTACAGCCCCTAAATCTTTGTTTTCATTTTGATGTCCCGCCCTCCACCCTTGTGACCAATCAAAAAGTCTGTGATCTGGGTTTCCAGAAGTACCATGTGGTCGTAGAACTAAAAAAAAGTCTTGTTATGATTCTCAAATCATTAACAACAAAACAAGGAATAAAACCAAGATTTCTGTGTGAAAAAGATGTTGGTTATAGATTTGTTGTTGACAAAACAGATATTATGATCCCAGATGGATTCTTCTGCATATCTGGCAACCTGAGTCAAGGAGAGTGCAGTACCATTTTAACACACTGCTCCTTTAATTTACTTGATTAAGAACTGCCATGAAAACATACAGAGCACCATAGCAATCCCCGCTACAGTCACATTGATTATTAAAGTTTGTAGATGAAATTTGTGGATTAAAAGGTGTCACGTTTATTAACACCACGCAGACCTTTTGCCTTGAAGCGTGACCCGGACCCAATCTAGACTTTGTGTCATGGTAGAGATACTGCGACCTTTTTCCACATGGTCTGGGGCTGTCCAGATGGTGGCCATCTTACCATCCTCCTGTCATGCTGTGTCCCCTGCTCTCCCCTGGTCCCCTTCTCTCTCTTGCTTTCCTGCTCTCCCCTTGTCTCTCCTGGTCCCCTCTTCCTTGGTCCTCTTCTCTTTCCTGGTCTCCTGCTCTCCACTGGTACCCTGCTCTCCTCCTGGTCCCCTTCTCGCTCCTGGTCCCCAGCTCTTCCCTTGTCTCCCCTGGCCCCCTCGTCTCCCCTGGTCCCCTTGTCGCCCCTAGTCCCCCTCCTCTTACCTGGTCCCCTGCTCTCTCCTGGTCCCCTGCTCTCCACTGGTATCCTGTTTTCCCCTGGTCCCCTTCTCTCCCCTGGTCTCCTCTTCCTTGGTCCTCTTCTCTTTCCTGGTCCTCTGCTCTCCACTGGTACCCTGCTCTGCTTCTGGTCCCCTTCTCTCTCCTGGTACCCTTCTCTCTCCTGGTACCCTGCTCTCCTCCTGGTCCCCTTCTCGATCATGGTCGCCTTCTCGCTCCTGGTCCCCAGCTCTCCCCTGGTCCCCTTCTCTCCCGTTTCAATAATTATCAACATTCATGGACATTGGTCATCTGCCCCTTATCGACCAATGGCTCAATATACGTATTTTTTTGTTTAGTTTGAACAGTTTGATTCTCTAATCTGTGAAAGCGAATCCACATTTTTGTAAAGTCAACTACAGTTGTGATTTAGGACCATAAAAGAATACATGGAATTGAATTGAATTTCCATGTTTTAATTTGGTTGTCCCTGCCCTGGATCTGTTTTTATGTTGAAAATAGATTTACAAATGAGAAAACAGCCGTACTCTTTGGCCGCCTTTTTTTTTTTTACATCGGCGCTCATGGATTGTTTACAGTTCATAAGCACAAGCGGCCTCTGCAGCGCTGTGGCTATCTTAATCCTGCCTCTCCCGATCGATTTGCTCCTGACAGCCGCTGAAATACAAGGCCGAGCAGTTCTCCCGCGATGGCCCCGCCGTACAGTGCGCTCTGACAGCCGTCCTGGCCGCGGGAGATGTGTCTGTAAGACGTCTGGATCGGGGCTGACGGGGGGGAGAAGAAACTCAGCTGCGATTTGGATCACCGAGACGAGCATTCCTGAAAAAAAAAAAGTCAGTTTTTGAGGCAGCAGGAGAAACGCATGGTGTCGGTGACAAACGGAGAAATGCGCAATTATTTCGTCAACGCGGTTCAATGCGCACAAATATGAAGCTTAATTTTTGTTGGACGTTTCAAGTTATTCCTGTTGAAAATGGTCATAGGCTAAACTCGCACCAGGTTTTGCAAAGAATTAAAATGCTTTCACATCAGCAAAGTTCCAGTATAAAAAGTGCAATGTAATATTTGGGGAACTTTGGAAATCACTGTTCCAAGAGATTTATCAAGTTCAAGTTTCTGAGTTCAAAAAGAAGGTATATTATGGAATTCTGGGGTGGATGTGATTATTAGTTTTAATTCGCTGTGGCTGGTGCAATGTTCAAAAAACTACCCCTGAATTTCTCCTACGGGGATCAATAAAATATCTATCTATCTACATTTTCACATCGCCACAAAAAAAATGGTATTACCTTTTATTTAGTAATTTTTTTCAGATTTTTTTTTTTGGCAGTGACTTTTTATTGTTAGTTTATCCATGTGCAGCACTTTGGAAACTGTTTGTTTGAATGAAACAGGCTATAATATTAAGATTCAGATTAAGAGATCCTTCGTTCCACAGTGAGGAAATTTCAGTAACTAGAGTATGATTGGATTAGATGGTGATTATATCGCTCTCTTTGTCATTTTCAACTAATACGGCCACACTTTTCATCTCCCTAACATATATAAATCAAACCCATGTTCAACAAATAATAACAAAGGCCATAGAAACGTGTACTCAAAGTTGTTGTTTCTAGTCACTCCTCAGCCACCAGTCTTCAGTTCTAGACCGCTGGTGGCTTCTCCAATCTCTTTGAAATTCGTTCGACGCAATTGTGTGCTTAAACCGCAACATCCAATCCCTTCGCACTTCACCTCGAGTTTCCCAAGGATCTTCTCCGCAAGTCGACTTTTTCAACGGCCGACGAAGCAACTCTATCTGGTATCCAAGCAATCTGCGGTCCGTCCATCCCCTCAGCCATCTCCTCTCCTCGCGCTATCTCATTTCTCTCGCTCTTCCGTCGAGTGGAGCCGAGCGTTCCTCTTCACGGTAAGTAATGTCTGGGAGAGAGCGAGGCGTCCAATCAGAGGGGGATCTGGGGGTTATCTGGTCAAGGATAAGGTGAGGGAGAAGTCATGGGATACAGCAGTCTGAAAGCTGTGTTTGCCGGAGTGCCGTGTATTTGTTCAAAAAGTTCTTGGTGAAAGAAATGTGGTGCTAAATGACTGGAATCTGGAACAGCAGCAAATCCTCATTCCTTTGATCTTGTATCATACATTATGAGTAAATGTTTGGACACCCTTTTAAATGAGTAGGATTTTTTTTGGATGAGAAATGTCTGGTAAATATATCATATATAGATAGATATATGTGAAAAGTGAAATAAAGTTTGTATCATAATTATTTCAACTAAATTTGGCGTGTGCAAAAATCCTCCATTTTTTAGTTTCAAACCTTTAGCATAATTATTGGAAGTCAAAATTGGATTTTCGTAACTATCCATCCATCCATCCATTTTCTTCCCCTTAATCCATTTCTGGGTTGGGGGGGTGGCAGTCAGAGCTGCACCCATGTACACAGAGCACCAGCCCCTCACCCTCCTGCAGGTGCTGAGTCCACAGGAGAATTGATCTTTCAGTGGGGGCTTCAGGCAAAGTCGAGTTAAGTGTCTTGCCCAAGGACACAACAACAGCAGTCATCAGTAGGAGTCGGGAAGTAGGTCTCGTGGTGGATTTGAACCTACGACCTTCAGGTCCAAAGGCTGATACTCTACTAACTGAGCTACTGTTGGTAAATTAATAAAAATTGTTTTTTTGTAACTAATCTGGTTGAAATAATTTTTGCCCACTTTCTGTAAATGATACAAACTTTATTTCACTTCGCAAATATGGCTGTGTTTGTCTCCTATATGAAATATTGAACTAAAATTTTAATCATTAGAATTTCTTTATATTTTTATTTCAATCCAAAAGAGAACATAAATATGGACATAACGGACAAAAAACACATTAATAAAAAAAATAAAACATACTAAAAATGCAGTGGCCAAATAGGAAATTTCAAGGGGTGTCCAAACTTTTACTTTTCTACCGCTTTACTTTCCATTTAAGAGCCTGAAGATATATCACGATCAAATATGCTTGATTGGGTCAGGCATCTGCATGACCTGGCAACTTCTGGACTCTCAACTGTTTTTTCAGTACTTTTTATCAAGGACTTTCATCTCAAATGTGTCTGGAGTCTGTCTTTCAGATGTTCTCATTTCATTGGTCTTTCTGTTTGTACTAATTATAATTTCAATGTCAATACTATCACATCAACACATTTTACTGTTGTGATGCTCCTGAAATGACACGTTACAAATGGGGTTCTTTCATGAAAAATACTTTATAAACACATTACAAACTTAATTATGTGCTGAGAACATGAATAAAAAACCTCATTTTTCAGCATAATTCAGTCCATGTATTGTTCTAATCTGTCTACATTCCTACTGCCAATTATGTTATACTTAGATCATGAAAAATGGTATATTTGACAATACATGGCTTTACACAACCACTTAACGATTGATCTAGAAATCTTATCGTGAAGAAATCTGAATTAACATCAAATAGTTATAAGAGGAAGTTATTAACTAATCCTCAACTCTTTATTCAAATACAGCACATATAATCTTTTGGCAGCGAGGTCAGCTGAGAGACGGGAAATGTGTTTTAAAAAAAATTCGGCAATATCTGTGTCGAAGAATAATGTATACAGGTCAAAGCAGATTATTACAGGTATCAGAGATATATCAGAGTTGCATCAGCGTACGGAAGCGTGAAGAGAAACCTTGAGTCACACATATCGATACTGACTTCATTTGTTTTATATCTATAGAGAAATTATTTGTTGTTTGCTCTGGTCTATTTAATGTCCAGTAATTTCTTCATTCGGGTCAGGCGCTTTCAGACGGCTGCAGGTGGTCCATTGTGTAAGGCTGAAACAATGACACAGCAAAAAATTATGAAAAAATTGTCAAAAATAGCTCAAATTTGGCAAAATATATCTTGATTGGAGCACATACTGACTGCTTTAAAACAAGATTTGTCCTAAGTAGCTTTGTTGTTTTGTGCTTTACAAATTTTATTTTTCTTGCTATTTTATTTTTCTACCTGAGATGTTGCTGCAGTACAGTATAGTTTTACACTGGTCCAGACCAGAGCGGAGAGGATTCATGGTCAGAACTAAGCGGATCAGCCAAAAATCCACTGGAGGAATGCTAACTTTTTGCATTTTACTTTGGACTAGAGCAAAGAAAATGGCCCGAACCAAGCGGCTACTCCACCTTTTGACCCGTCCTACTCCACCCAGAGGCTACTCCATCTCTGCTGCTGTGACCTGAAGGGCTGTTGCTGATTCATTACTATTGTTATCTTTTGAGAATGATCAATTTTATTTTTAATTTTTACTGCTACTGGACACCTGAATTTCTCCTACGGGTATCAACAAAGTGTCTATCTATCTATCTAATTGGCTTTGTCCCGTTGGAAAATCTTGTTTTAAGACAGAATGTGCTCAGATGAAGAAAAACACCAAATTCAAGCAATTATTACCTCATATTACATAATATTTTGTAGTGATACCTGTTTGTGTTTCAATAGATAGATACTGTAGATACTTTATTAATCCCCCATAGGAGTATTCCAGGTGTCCAGCAGCAGAAACACATCCATACAATCAAATAAACACATCATTCTAAAAGTAACAAACAAGCACAACTGTATTTACTTAATTGCGGCCTCCTTCCACTGATCTAACCAGTAACGTCACCTGTAGACGGATGATACCTGTGCGACCGATATGTTTACCGCCACCATTCCAGCAAAAGTACAAAAACCACGTCGGCTGCAAATGAGGAATCCTTATTTTGCTTTTCTTGACGGGTGCAAATTGGCAACACGACTCAGGCTTTTGAAACTGAAACGAAAGCCGCAATCTAAACCATAGACTTGACACAAAAAGCTGTAAAGAAACCGTCCATTCTGCGTCGCCACCCGGTTTGGTCCATTCACCCATCTTTCCGACGTCTCGACAATCCAATCACGCCAACTGCCATAAGCGGATTGTTCAGACCTCTTTCACGTGCAATACCACGGACAAGTTCTTGGGTTCGCGCCCAGAGAAGCCGACAGAGCGCACAAGCGTATCAAGTGCGGGCAGAATCTTCACGTCTAGACACCTGGATTTCCCCCCAAACCCTCGTTTTTTTTGTGCTCAAGAAAAAACAACTGTGTTTCTTTTAATTGTTTCCTTGCCAAGAGTGTTGAGCACCTCTGGCTAATGCTCCTCTTCCATCA